ACTTAGTCCGTCGGGGAGCGCGGCCGGGTGTCCCAGCCCGCTCCTCGCCCGGGTTCAGCCGGTGCTGGGATGCTTGGCTTCCTGCCCGGGAACGGGACGGACGGCTTTGACGTGGAGGGTAGTGCGGAGTAGTATTTCCCTTCTCGACTCTGTTAGAAACGGATAGTGCCGTGGAGTCAAGATGTCCCAGCATGTTTAGTATTACTTGAAAGCCAGCAACGCCGCGAATTAAAATGTTAAACGCCAGGCGAAACCTTCGCCTGCCCGACCGCGTGCGGTGCTGTTGGGTTTTCTCTCGGTAGTGCAGGTGCGTGCACATTATTTCGAGGCGGGATGTGGCTTTTGCACCGAGGCGCGTTCTCATTGGGGCACAGGTTGGAGGTGAGGGGTGGATGCTGTGCAGAGCGAGGCTTCCTCAAAGATGTGTTGTGAATACGTAATCCGTGAGATTTATTCCCAGGGCCTTTTCCACTAAAAATGTCAAATTTGGCCTTTTATCCTCTGTGTGTGTATACACAAAAAAGTTTCCAGTCCCGAGCTCGGTGTAATATCCGCACACGTACTTAACTTGCTCTAGTATTTCTGTTGGCGTTTCTGGTTGTGCTTGTGTAAACTTCTGTTTCCATCACTGTGGTCAGTGATAGCGGTTCATGTGGCATATGTTAACATTGACTTGATATTGCAAAATATGTTTGTTTTGTTAATAGGTACTTCTCATAGGAATAAGAATATAGATAATTTTGAAGATTTTGCTTTATTATTTAGAAGGAGAAAAACGAATCTTAAAAAAAATTGATCTTAATGGTTGTATAAATTGTGGCACTTTTAATTCTGTAGTTTTGTTATTTTATTTATTTATTTATTTTGGTACCAGGAATTGAACTTAGGACCTTGCACTTGCTAGCCAGGCGTTTTGTTTTTTAAAAGGCATTTCTCTTTCCAGTCTGATGAAAATTGTCCTGGCTTGTGCCTGGAAGCTAGTTGAATAATAGTATAGCGTTTTAAAATTATTTCAAGACAGATATGGAGTGATGTTCTGTGTTTTTTACAGTGTTGTTTCACTGGGTATATGAAAATTGAGAGACAGTTTCAAGTTAATTTATGAAGCTTTAAATATATTACGGAGTTATTTGGAAATTTAAATGACATAAAGAGGGTATTTATATCCAACCCCCGACCCCCAGGGCGTAGCGAATGCTAGCTGAGAGCTTTACTCTTGAGCTGTAACCCTCTCTTTAAAAAAAATTGAGACAGAGCTTCTTAAGTTGCCCAAGCTGGCCTCGAATTTGAAATCCTGCCCAAGACTCATGAGTAGCTGGCGTTGTAGATGTACACCACCATCCTCAGATCATAAATCATGTCTTGTTTTTGTAAATATTTAGGTATTAAGTTGGATATTTAAAAAATGTCTACAAATGATGGAGATTGACTAGAAGGAACAGGAAGGAGTTATGTGAGGTGATGGAATTGTTTCGTATCCGAATTGTTAGTTATACAAGTGTGCATATATTTGTCAAAACTCATTGAATTACATATGTAATAGCTCTGTATTTCACTGTATGTAAATTTTGCCGAAAAAAAGTGCAGTGCACCATGAAAGAACCTTTCACAGTTTTTCCCTCAGCAATCTTTATTTGAAAAATAAATGTTAACTATAGTGTAATTTCAGCTTATTCTGTAACCTACAATTTCATACTAATTTCCAACCTGTCTTACGTTCATATTTCTTAAATGAGACTTGGAACAGTTTAGTGCCCAGCACAATGTCATCTTCCTTTTACATTTGTTATGACCAATTTTAAAGTGCTTGATCAGTTAAATGCAAAATGTTAAGCAGGAAATTTTTGTTTTTTAAGGTTATAAATATGTATAATTAAAAACCTATAAATATATTAAGACGTTGTAGCTGTACATAGGTGGTAGGTGATTTGAGAGGACAACTATGGAAATTGGGAAGTGGTTTAGGATGTCTTATAATCAGTTATTCTGTTTGATCACATGAGAAATTACTATGTGTACTAATTTCCTGTCCCTGCTTTAGCATAACTTCGTTGGTAGTTTGAACGACACAGATTTATTATTTTACAGTTCTATAGGTCACAATTCTGACAAAGGGCTCACTAGACTAAAATGAAGATGTGGCAAGAGTATGTTCACTGGAGTGTCTGGGGAAAAATTGATTTCCTTTCCTTTCCTAGCTTTTAAAAGGTACCCACACTCCTTGGCTCATGACCCCTTCCTCTATCTTAAAAGCCAGCCAGATTTTATCTCTCTGACCGTATTTCCTAGTCATCTTCTCCTGATATCCTTCTGCTTTCCTTTTCAATTTTCAAGTACTCTTGTGATTTAATTGGGCACACTTTGATAATCCAAGATAATCTCACCATTTACTGATTAATATAACATGTCCACAGTTAATGTGGATGAGGGCATGGATACTGTTGGGATAATGTTTTTACCACGTAATGGTGGTAAACACGCGCTCGTGCAATCTGAATATATTTAGGTTTCTCCTCGGTATTTTATATTTTATTATCATTACAATATTTTCTTCTGATTTGAACTTGTATAGTTTGATACAAATAAATTAAGACTAAAATTTTCTATTTCATATCAGGAATTTTATGGTGTCACTAATCTCTTTAGTAATGAATTTAATTGGTAGAATTCTTACTAGATTGGGCAATTTCACATTTTGATGGTGACATTTTGAAAGATGGCTTGAGAACCTTCTGTGTTGTAACCAACAGATAATCGTAAACCATTTTATGCAGGAATACAAAGTTTTCGAAGTTGAGACAGGTAACGGTATATACATCAGGAGCATCCTACATGTTATTTTTTTAATCCCCATTATTTAGAAAAGTTTTTGTCTTCGCATACATCATTGAACTTTACTCCTGCTCTGTTTTTTGAAGAACTTTTCTAGAAGATGGATAGTATTATGGAAAGATAATTCACATAAAGGTATTATTCATCTGTGAATAATATGCCAGCGAAAGAGCAAAAACTAATTTATTCTCGGTTCATTTTTCAAATTCTGATAGCAGTCCTTTACATGTATTTATTTACTAATTTATCTACTTCTACATTTGCCCGCCCGTCTACTGTTCTTTCATACTGAATGTGGTTGCATCCATTTTTAAGCTAGCTTTGTCTACAGAGTATTTAAAAAATGTATGTTCTTTTTTTAAATACAGGAAAGGAACAACAACAACAAGAACACTGTGTTTCAAACACTAAACTTTTAAATTTGCTTGTATTTTGGAGACTTTTCTGATAATATCTTGAAGAGGAGCCACTAACCTGGGAATGTAGATTTTAAACTTTTCTAAACTGCATACCTGCAGATAAAAGTTACTTTTCAAAATTTATAAGTTCTAAATATAAAATACTCATGTTCAGGAAGTTCAGTGATTTCTTATTATAAATAAGTCCTTTTTTATTTAGTCCTGCTGTTTCTAATTTATAAATTTTTGCTTTTCTTGTATATTAGTTCTTCAGGTTAGTCTAACATATCATTCTCTTGCAGTATTGATAATGCTAATTCCTAGTCTGTTCACAGAATGTTTAATTTTTAAATGAACGATTTTTACTTTATCGGTCAGTATGATTTTGATAAGTTAACTATAATGAAAACTGGTTTAGCCATGTCTCAGTTGACTACATAGACTGTTTTTTGCCCCCCTGAATTTCTTATTGTTGATCCTAAAATTAGGCATAGGACAATGAGAAATTGTCATAAACTTTTCATAGATAAGTAGAAATTTTGGGAGACAATCATTAATATTTTGCAAATTAGCTAGAAATGGCAGTGTCTTTCGGTCGTATATCATGAGTGAGCTTTTATACTGTTTGTCACAGATAAATAATTACAGGTCCACTTCATCATCAGTTTTGAAATCCAGATAACCATAGCAGCCCAGTGACTTTTTACTGATTCATTTTGAAGCAAAACCTGACTGAACTATTTTTTTCTTTTGGTGGTGGTGGGGGCTGCTTTACTGGGACTTGAACCCAGGGTGTTTACCCTGAGCTGCAGATCCAGTCACCCTCCTGTTTAATGTATTCTGAGACAGGATCTCACCAAGTTGCCCAGGCTGTGGTTGAACTTGTAAACTTCTTGCTCCTTTTTAAAGTAGAATCTATCAAGAATTCATTAGTTTTATCTGTAGAAGAAATGTTAATATCAGTCTTGTATACAAATTGCACTAGATGTCCGCCTAGTGTTCAGATA